AGGGAAGGACGACAACGGGAACCGGCACCAAGCAGCAGCAGCAGAAGCAGCGGCAGAGGGACGGGAGACAAGGAAGCGGCAGGCCAACAGATACTAGGTGGCGCGCACAATCCCCTGGCGGTGTGCGGCCCAGAAACCCCGAACAGCGGACACGCAAAATCTGATGTCAACGCTACAGAAGATGTGCGAAAAATTGCGAAAGGCGCCGCGGCCTGAGCGCACCGCGCGCTGCCCAGGCAAAACCGGGCCGGGCTGCCGACGCAGCGCCGCGCTAATGGCGGAGCCGGGCAAGCAGTGCGGGCCAGCAGGCGTGAGCCCCGCGCGGCGGGACATGCACGGGGAGCGGGAGGAAGGAGGAGAGGAGGACAGAAAACTCCAGAAACGCAATCAGTTCCATCCGTGCGCGCGGTCATAAATCCTCTCTGAGCGGCCGTGCCCGCGCACCGCCTCGCGGCACGACTGGTCGAGGGCCTCCATCGCCGCCGGCCCCCGCGGAACTTGGCCGCGGCGACGCAGACAATGCGTGCGATACGCCGCGGTTGCGCGGACCGCCACGCAGACCGCCCTCGCCGGGTCGCTGTTCGCCCGGAAATCCAATCCGAGGAAGGAGGACAATCGCGCGTCCGGCAAAGCAACGCGCGGCAGGCCCAGCCGCCTTCCGGCCACCTCGTGCAAGCGCGGGCAGGTGGCGTAGTGCTCGATGGAGTCCGGCGCCTCGTCGGAGCACCGAAACATGCAACCAGCTAGGCCCCTGGCACCCTGCGTGCGCCTGCTTGTGGCCCAGCCATTCCATAGCGTGCGCCACGTCGCCGCCCAGACTCGTGGCGGTGCTCGTCCTCGCAGTGCCTGTAAGAACTCGATGCAGCGGGATACCCGGATCCGAAGGAGCTCTGGCACGCACCACCTGCTGAGTTTGTGCCTGATACGCATCTCCAACTCGAGCGTCGTCACCTGGGGCAGTGAGGCTGCTGCGGCCCGCTGGAAGGTCGCCTTCACGAGCTGCGCCTGCTGCCGCGTGAGGGGCCGCGGGATCGCGCCTCCTAAGCGAAGGGCTCTGCGCTCCACATCCCAGGGGGCAACCCCGCGCAACTCGAAGTGGCCGGCCGAAGCGTCCAGCTGCAGCAGGAAGGAGCGGGCGAACCAATCGGCCCAGGTAGCCTTCATCACCACGTCGTCCGCCGCCAGATGGGCGCGCCGCAGCCCCGCCGCGCGCTGTCGAACTCGCAGTCCGCCAGTGCTAGCTGCTTCCAAATGATATACCCGGAACTGGGCCGCCCGCGTCCGCGCGCCCATATCCACGAAGGCTTTGGGGAAGCCCAGCAAATCGATGTGCCGGAGGTCCCTGGGGCATCCCCATTGGCTGATGCCAGGCACAAGCGCGCGGAATGCCTCGGCCTCCACAGCGGGCCAGCGCGGGGGAAAGCCATCGAGTTGAATCAGAAAGCTTGACACTGAGGCAATGTATGAAGAATAAGCGACGACCGTGGCGAAGAGGCCGCCCCCCGCCTTCCCCCACGAGGCCGCCCTATCCAAGTACTTGGACAGCGCCTTGTCGTACGCCTTGCAGCCGCGACCGGGGCCGAGCACAAAGCCAAGGTACTTGGCATGATCGGCCACGCGGAGCCCGCCCCATCCTGGACGGTCCACGATCAACTCCTGCGCAATGGCATCGCGATCTCCCAGGAACAGCGGCACCACGACTGTCTTGGGCAAGTTGAGGCGCATACATACATACACATACATGCATACATATATACATACATACACACGTGTGCATGCATGGATTCGTGCATGCATTCATGCATGCATGCATACATACATGTATATACACATATACATTTGCATGCATACATACATACATACATACATACATACATACATACATACATACATACATGCATGCATACATACATACATACATACATACGTGAATGCATACATGCATGCATGCATGCATGCATACATACATACATGCATGCATGCATGCATGCATAGCATACATGCATGTAGACATACATGTACATAAATATGCATGTATGCATATATGCGTACATGCATGTATGTAAACATGCAAAACATATATATAATCACGTACATACACATACACACACATACGTGCATGCATAAGTGCATGCGTACATACATGCACAAATAGACATGCTTACATGTATGCGTGCAAACATGCATAGATGCATATGTTATGTATAGCTCGATTCATGTATACATACATTTATGCACATAAACATACCTACATACATACATACACAAATACATGCATACATACATACATACATACATGCATGCATGCATGCATGCATGCATGCATGCATGCATATATGTATATATACATGCATATGAACATGCATGCATAAATACATATGTATATACATGCATGCATACACATTTGCACTTACAACTATGCATACATGCATGCATGCCGACAGACAGACCGACAGGCAAACAGAAAGACAGACACTCATACGCACACGCATACAACGGACCGGACTGGGGGGGCATACTCCTCCTACCCCTCTTCCTCCTCCTCCTCCTCCCTCCTCCTCCTCCTCCTCCTCCTCCTCCTCCTCCTCCTCCTCTTCTCCTCGTCCTGTGAGTTGTACATGAATGATCTTTGCACGCTCGGTAGTTTCGGTCGGGCGGGGCAGAGAAGACAGGAACGAAGGTGCCGTCCTGCCGCGCCCGTATTGAGCTTTTCGGCTCGAGGACGCATGAGACCCGAGGTAGGTGTCGGAATTCCTCGCCGTCGGGCTTGTTCGGGAGCTCGCTTCCCTGGCTGTCCGCACTCGCCAAGGGTGCCCCGACTGCTATTGCGACTGTCCCGCACCGCCAGAGGTGTCCCGGCTGCCCTGCCCGTGTGTGCCCTGGGGCGCCCGATCCAGCGCAGCCTGTGTGCGCGGTGCGCGTGGACTTCTCCAAGAAGTCTTACGTCGTTGTGGCTGCGGGCGCCGCGGATTCCTACTGGCTGGTGGGTCTCAGCGGAGCCTCAGCAGGTGTCGTGCGCGGAGTCTTGGCTACTCGCAGCTGCTGCCCGAGGCGTGTCGGAGGTCCTGGGATTAGAGGACGTGGTCGAGTCGAGAAGTGATGGCGGCTGTGAATGAAAAGATTCCTGGTGCTTACGAAATGGTGTGGTACGAAGGTGATGATCATGGCCATGAGCGCCTGCTGCTTCGTGAAGTGCAATCAGATAATGATAAGCGCGTGTGGATTAGTGCTACGCCCGACTTCGATGTATATGCGGAGGAGCACAACACTACTGGAGATCGTGGAACTGCCAGGTTTGTTTTGCTGCGTGGGCGTACTGCAGGTCGTGCTGTTCCTCGTCCGCTGTACAGGTTCAGCGAAACAGTGTCAGCGGAGAATTTCAGGGAGTTGCGTCAGGAGGCCAGGGACTATATCGCCTAGGAGGGCTTGGTCGAGGTCTCGCATTCCAAGATCTACGGGGACGACTTCACCATTCGCAATGTGCGGGCACCTCTTCGTGGAGCTCCACTGGGAGGAGGAGCTGTCCCGTCGGAGGGCACTGGTGAAGCTGCGCACCCTTCAGAGCCTGTCGTCGGTGTGCCTGGCAATCGGTGACGTAATCGTGGCGCTGGAGCAGATCACCGGCGATGAGTTCGACGGCTACGCGGAGGAGCGCGAGTCACTTCTGCACCTGGGTTTGGGTGGTGTGCCGACGCCGCGTGACAAGGATGAGGCTCCTACGGGGCAGACGGCACCCCGAGGCGCCCTCAGCGGGCCCCCCTCCCTCTACAATTACACAATATGAATACTACTCTCCCACTTCCCCTGATGGCGTCCGGAAGATGTTCGGCACCCCCCCGCGTACTGTTTTTTTACACACAGGATTCCCCGGAGTTGGGTTTTCGCTTGTGTTTTTTTCTAAAATGCTGCTCTCGCTGAGGCGCTGGCCTAATTTTCGGGCTCCCGCTCCTTCCGAATCGTGTTCCCGCTGCAGCGCTGGCCTCATTTCCGCGCTCCCGCCGTTCCGAATCGTGCTCCCGCTGCAGCGCTGGCCCAATTTCTGCGCCTCTCGTTGTTCCAAAACGTGCACCCGCTGCAGCGCCGACGTTTTCGATCCTTTTTAAGAAGCCCCAAATCTAGAAAATGATCCCCGGCCAAAACATTGGAGGTGATTACACATCCGGTGTCGATTCGTTGATTTTTGGGGCCGCAGAAAGCCCCCCCCTCTTTTGGGCGGCGTCCTTTTCCGCACAGGATTCCCGGGAGTTTGGTTTTCATCTATGTTTTTGAAAATCCGAGTCTTTCCGGTCCTTCAGAATGTTGCTCCCGCTGCAGCGTTCGTCCTATTTTCCGCGCCGCTGGACGTTCCAAATCGTGCTGCCGCTGCAGTGCAACGGTCCCCGGCCCCATGCTCCCTCTTAGGTAACAGGGTCAGATGCGAAGCCCGATTCGGTGAGAGGACAATGAAGTAGCTCAATGGGAAGGGATGGGAGGGAGGGGTAGGATGTCAGATGTTGACGCGTGCGCACCTAGCTTGTCCCCCCCCCCTCCCCCCCTCCCCTCCTCTCTTCCACCCCGCCCGGGAGCAGACAGGAACTGGCGGCGCCACAAGGAGACGGGTCCCACGCAAGATGATATCTATAGCGACCTCACGCGGCGGCCTACGTGGGCCGCCAGCGCGGCACGCTACACTGGCCACGAGGGCGCTTACGCCTAAGTCGGGAGTGTCCCCCTACAGGGGGATTTTCGACGAAAAATAGAAATACCCCAAAAATACGCCAAAAAGGTCAAAACATACTGAAGAAATAGTCCCCAGACTATTTTTGTATTATCTTTTGACTATTTTGGGGGTATTCTTTGTTTTTCGTCGAACATCCCCCTGGTAGGGGGACACGCCCGACTTAAGCTTACGCGCGATCCGACGCGGGCAGCTCACGCGCTGGTGGCGGCGCAGGCGACCACGGTCCTTCGTCGAGCGCGGGGGCGGCGGTGCAAAGAGCCGCGGAGCGAGGAGGCCGTGCCTGCAGCAGCCGGTGCCTGCGCAGCGCGTCCGCGAGGGCCTCCACTCCCCCGCGCGCGCGCGCGGACCCGCGGGGAGCTCTGCGTTTTTGATACGAAAGCAAAAATAACATTAAGTCGGGCCTGTCCCCCTACAGGAGGCTTTTCGAGAATTTTAAGATGCCCCAAAAATATCCCAAAAAGGTCAAAATTCACTCGAAAAATAGTCCCCAGACCATTATTGGACTATGTTTGGACTATTTTTGGAATATATTTTGTTTTTCGTCGAGAATCCCTCTGTAGGGGGACAGGCCCGACTTAAGAGTAACACACAGCGGACCGATGGTAGCGAACCAGGGTGACAATCGATGGCGCAGACCCTCAGGCGAGGCTGCACCCCAAGAGTTGCCCAGATGCAGAGAGGCGGTGTGAGATAGGGGGGGGGGCGGGCGACGCAGAAGATACTGTTTGGTTCGTGGCCGTACCGGGCGTTATGGGCGGGGGGAAGGAGGGGAGCGGGGGGGAGGGTGCTGGGAGGGGAGGGGCAAACTGACGTCCCGCCCCCGTCGTGCGGGTCTGGCACTGCAGACTGTGGTGCCGAACGCACTGCGGCAGTGCCGGGACGCATTCGTGGGAGGCGAGCGTTAGGCGATGGGGGGGAAGGCCGGGGGGTGGGGGCAGAACGCCCACTATGGCGACCGAGCGAAGGAAAACACCCTCGAACGAACGACGCGCTCCGTCGGCCCGAAACCCGTCCCAAGGCGGGGTGGCGCGGTGGCGTCTCAGCGCCCTCAGTTCTGCCTCCTCCCATACCGCCAGACGCGGCTCGGAGGGAGGAGGGAGCGGAGCGAGGCAGGGAGGGAGGGCATCATCGAGGAAGAAAAGCACGAACAATCTGAAGTCCGCGCGGACTTCTGGTTCGGCGCTGGAGACCCCTGGCGGCGCCTTCCGGCGCCGCCCCCAGCACGCTCCGCGCGCCTGGGAGAGGGGCACAACGTCGATCCAAGAAATCCGCGCGGACTTCCGACATCTTATGTTTATGACGGGATGATGCAGGATTGGGTTGGTCTTCGACCTCGGATATGCCAGCGCCGATGCTGCACTGAAACTCCCAGGAGTCGCATCGAGGATGACCAGGAGGAGGGCGAGGAGCTGGAAGGAGGGAAGAGGAGGCACGTAGGATCTATCCGTCGTGCTATGCGTTAATGCTTCCTCCCCGCGTGGCGGAAACCACCACGCGCCGTGCGCCAGCACCCCCCGCAGGGCCCATCGGCCATCGCCGCTGGGGGGCGGCAGCGTTGTCCCGCAGGACGTA